CTGGGCCGGGCTGGCCACTGGGTGAGCAACAGATGCAGTTTGACTTTTCTTGTGCTAGATGATTCTCCACTCCCACTCCTAGGAAATGCTTCTATCCCTTTGATAAGGCCAACTTAGTTATCACTTGTATCCCCAGACAGAGAGCAGGCTCCTTTCAGGATGGCACCAGTGCTTGGCTAAGCCCTGGACATAATGGCAGGACACTGTGAGGATGGACACTTTTATCTCCCATGCTGGGCAGGGTTCAGATACAGAGGAAGGGGGGTTGAAGTTACGATCCTTTCATTTTATATGACTGTGATGTGCTAACTGTGCATACCTGGCACTGATGTATGCAGGGCCAGAAATGATCTTCAGAAGACCGGCCACAACAGTAATTAATCACTCTGGAATCATGATACGTGTGGAGGTGAGAGACACTGTGACATTCATAGTAAATGCTGCTGGTGTTGGCAATTGTTTCTGGGGCAATACTGAGTAGAGAAAAGGAAAAGAGAATTATTGAGCGATTCATTTTGTTCTTCCTTAAATGTGGTTTCACTTGACTTAAACCAGACCTAAACATAGCCTTGTGTATCAGTTTAACTAGATTGGTTCATATCCATGCCTTCCATTAAAATGACATATACATCTGTGTATCTGAGACTGTAGAATGGTGTGGATATACTTGCTGGGCTTACTGCCATCTCTAAGGGTATTTGGCTGACTTTGTAACAACTGCAGTCCAAGTTATAACTGCACAAAAGTCCAGGTTGCTTTTGGCGCGCACATAGTGCTGCCAGCAAGTATGGATCAGAAATATCGTTCAGAGTAGAGCTGTTTGCCTTCTGAGGAGGGTGAGCTGAGATGGGCCTTGCTTTGTATTGTTTCCCGTTCCCCTTAAAGGTGTAAAAATTTTTCTGCAAATGATCAGGAACTTCAGGCTTCTGCGTTATGCTCTGTTGTAGCTGAAGTGTGGTGTGTCCTGTGCTTATCGTTGGCATTTGCAGCAAAGCGTTCTTGAAAGACACTCATCAGGTCTGGCATTTGCTCCCGTTGATAGATCTCTCATCTCCTTTTAAACTCATCTCTCATTTTAAAGTTACAGAGAAAAAGAAAAAAATGTGGTTTTGCTTTGTTTCCTAATTACTGTGTTGTCAGGGTTTTTCTGTTGGCCTACAAATAGGGATAGTTCAGAGCAGAATTACTTTAGTCCCTCTTTTGGGGTAACCTGAAATGTGCAATTCAGTGTTTCAGTTTTGGAACCATTAAGAATATCTTGTAACTGCTAATCAGAGATCTCTACTTACTCTCTGTGGAGTCAAAGCCTCAGTTATGGGTATGACTCGATTGTAACTCCTTAGCAGATGTTTAAAACCTAATGCCTAAGGTAACTGGTGTGTGTGCGTCTCTCTTGCATAGTTTTTAAAGGTTAACTGTGGGGTAAAGGAGGACTGAAATGAAGAAGTAGTTAATCATTTATTGTACATATTTTATTTCAAACAGATCATTAAATGCTCATACATCTATACATATGTATTTTTACTTATTCTCCAGGCACTGTCAGCACGTAAGTCACTGTCTGAAGTTTGTTCATAAAATATGTGGTGTAAAGAATCAAGTGTGGAATTACTGCGGGTTAAATACATCTCACTTTGTGCTGTATTTGTTTTGTGATTATGTGACCTCTGTATTTTGAGCTTTGGTAGCTAAGTGATGATATATGAACTCAGCTGTCTGCCTGCCCTCTCTGTCAGAGGTTATCCTCTTTAGTGCAGGGCTAACAGGAAGATGTGTGTCTGTAGTTGTGTACCTCAGTTCAAACTTACCTTTATTAGCAATTTCAACTAAAATAGACTTTGCAATGAAATTACTTGTGCCGAGGCAGACTCTCCCTTCTTCCTATCTTGCTGCAGTATTGACAACCTGTAACAGAGAGACAGGGAGAAAGGCTGGAGGAGATACCATCTTAACTTACCACAACAAAATTAGCCAGAGATTGTCTGTCATAGGCTTTAAATGAACCAGGGAAGTGTACCTTTTAAAATAAATACTAAATTAGAAATTCACACAAATAGTCTTTGAACTCTGGAGCAAAAATACACTAGCAAGTTTGAGCATTTCAGTGTTGTCAGGAAGGGAATATAGAGAGCCCATGATGCCATTTGAAACGTCAAATTTCTTCATTAGTTCTAATGGTGATTTGACTCAATGCTTCTCTTGTATGCTTCTGAATGAATGTCAAAAGGAGTCAGTGGCTTAGCAATAAGCATTCATCCCCATGGTTGGTAATGGGAATGAGGCTGTGCTTATCCAAGGCTGTTTTTCTTCTTTTTTTTCTGGCTGTTGTTACAAAAATTTTGTAAATTAAAAAATCCCAAGTATTTTTAATGTCTCAAAGTTATATTTTCACTCTAATGTCCCATTCTGTTTCATTCTAGATGTGTTAGAAAGAGCTATCATAAAATCATAGAATACTTTGGGTTGGAAGGGACATTTAAAGGTCATCTAGTCCAACCCCCCTGCAATAAGCAGGGACATCTTCAACTACATCAGGTTGCTCAGAGCCCCATCCAACCTGACCTTGAAGGTTTCCAGGTATGGAGCATCTACCACCTTTCTGGGCAACCTGTTCCCGTGCCTCACCATCTTCAGAGTAAAAAATTTCTTCCTTATATCTAGTCTAAATCTACCCTCTTTTAGTTTAAAACCATTACTCCTTGTCCTATCACAACAGGCCCTACTAAAATGTTTGTCCCCATCTTTCTTATAAGCCCCCTTTACATACTTAAATGTTGCAATAAGGTCTGCCTGGACCCTTCTCTTCTCCAGGCTGAACAACCTCAACTCTCAGTTTTAATTCACAGGAGAGGCGCTCCAGCCCTCTGATAATTTTTGTGACCTTCCTCTGGACCCGCTGCAACAGGTCCATGTCTTTCCTGTACTGAGATGTAATCTCACTTATATTCTCACCATCATATACTGACACAGAACCTGTCTTTCTAGTGCACCTCTTAACCATTAGCATCACCTATTCTCTTTTCATCAAGCAGCACTGCATTCAGTGCCTCCCCCACTGCAGCAGACCTGGCCTGGCCTCAAAATCCGGCTGGATTTTTTCTACAAGGCAACACAAGAGGAAGCTGTCCCTCACTTTAGATCCTTAATGTGCAATCTCTACCTTGGCTAAATTTCAGCTGCCCACTCTAACGCCCTCTTTTCCAGTCCCTTTGCCTCTCACCTGTAAGTTTCTAGCCTGCCCAAAATGCTGCCTCACCAGTTGTCTTCCTAGTTCCTCTGGTTCTGCTTATCTCCTGGTCAAATCTTTTCACCAGCACCTCTTTGCTCCTTTTCCAAGAGTCTTTGGGGAACTACAGACCTGTCAGTCTGGCCCTAGTGGCAGGGAAGGTTATGGAGCAAATCATCTTGAGTGTCATCGCATGGCACATACAGGACAACCAGGTGCTCTGGCCCAGTCAGCATGGGTTTATGAAAGGCAGGTCCTGCTTGACTAACCTGATATCCTTCTATGACAAGGTGACCCACTTAGTGGATGAGGGAAAGGCTGTGGATGTTGTTTACTTAGAATTCAGTAGAGCCTTTGACACAGTTTCCCACAGCATTCTCCTGGAGAAACTGGCTGCTCATAGCTTGGACAGGTGTACTCTTCGCTGGGTAAAAAACTGGTTGGAAGGCCAGGCCTAAAGAGTTGTGGTGAATGGAGTTAAATCCAGCTGGCAGGCAATATTAGGAAAAATTTCTTCACCAAAAGGGTTATCAAGCACTGGAACAGGCTGCCCAGGGAAGTGGTTGGGTCACCATCCCTGAAGGTATTGAAAAGACGTGTAGATGTGGTGCTGAGGGACATGGTTTAGTGGTGGACTTGGCAGTGTTAGGTTAACGGTTGGACTCGATGATTTTAAAGGTCTTTTCCAACCTAAACGATTCTATGAATCAGTGTTAGTTACCCTGATATGGAAATGGGATCTCATGCAAAAGGAATCATTCAAATGAAAGAAAATGTGTTTCACACCAGAAAACTGCATTCCCTTAAGCACAGAACTGATTTTCCTGTTTGACCAAGGAAGCTTCCTCTAACTCCAAAAGTTGCCTATAAATAATGTCTCCTCAAGCTCACAATTGTGCCATCTGCTTCTTCATATCACTTACTTTCAGTTTGTTACTCTTCTTGGTAGTATTACGCAGTATCGTTTTCCCAGGTCAGAATGTGTGAGCACCCCTGCTGTGCAAAATAATCAGTCCTATCATTCATAGCATAAATAATGTATAATACATTGATACTACCGACATGCGTGTATATCAATATTTTGTTAACACCAGTGATACAACATATGGAATCCCTTTTAAAGTTAAAGCACATGATTGAAAATCCTGACACATCCCCTTTCTCTGCTTGGTGGAACAGGCTATCGCTTGAAACTGTGTCCCTTCATTTTAGTGTTGCTTCTGGCTTAAATTAGTATCAGTGCATCACAAGCCATCTGAAAAAACTGTTGGACAATGCAGAAGTCCAACATGTTTTCAGCCGCTTTCTGCCGCAAGCCCCTGGAGAGGATGATAAAGCATGTTTGTAGCAGGGCCATGAATCCCACTGACTGGTGGTCTTTCTGCAGAGCAGGAGAAGGAAACGAGACTTTTTTTTTTTTTTTTAAAAAAGGACAAGATAAACATGCCTGGAAATGGCAGATGTCTTGAATGATGGAGCGGTGCTTGCTTGCATCTTCCCACTGCCTTTGATTGCTCTGTGGCATGCTTGCTTCCCTCTCCTACTTTCAAAGGGAAGAGAAACACTGTTGAAAAACAAAATCATAACAAAAAGACCGCAGGAAGGGCCAAGGGATGCTATTAATAAAGTGAGGGCTCTTGCCAAGAAAGTTTTCCAGCGGCCATTTTACCACCCTTGTTTCTTTATTAAACTAAGCTGTTTTTTAATGAGACTGTCTCGTTTTGCAGATGTGGTCATGGGCTCTGATCATCCTCTCATGTGTTTTGTTTTGCAGGAGGCAGCACAGGCACCTCCCCAACCACCTCCAGCACGGGGACCCCGTCGCCCTCTGCTTCCTCTCACCTTCTCTCTCCATCCTGCTCCCCTCCAGCCTTTCATCTGGCCCCCAACACTTTCAACGTTGGCTGCCGGGAGAGCCAGCTGTGCAACCTAAACCTGTCTGATTATCCCCCGTGTGCCAGAAGCAACATGGCTGCCTTGCAGAGCTACCCCGGGCTGAGCGACGGTGGCTACAACCGGCTGCAGAGTGGCAGGGCTTCTGCCTCGCAGCCCTCTGAAACCTTCATGCCTCAGAGGACTCCATCCTTGATCTCAGGAATGCAAAAAAAGCCCAGCAACAGCGGGATGGAGCCATACGGTGTCCAGCTGGGTTCCTTCCCCAGCTCCCAGTTTCAGTATGTCATGCAAGCAGGCAGTCCTGCCTCCACCTCCTCCTCTTCACACATGTTTGGTGGTGGCCACATGCAGCAGAGCTCCTACAACGCCTTCTCCCTGCACAATCCCTACAACCTCTATGGATACAATTTCCCTGCTTCCCCCAGGCTGGCGGCGAGCCCGGAGAAACTCACCACCTCCCAAAGCACTTTACTCTGCTCTTCCCCATCCAGCGGGGCCTTCGGAGAGAGGCAATACCTTTCCACAGGAATGGATCACGGGATGCACATGATCAGCCCTCCTTCCAGCAACCAGCAGACGGCCAACGCCTGTGACAACAGACAATACGGCGCGGTTCAGGGCTCTTCCTCACAGATGTCTGTGCACATGGTCTAATAAGCCATGCATCTCCTTGGCATCGAAGGCAGATGGACCTTTGTCATCTCCATGGGTAAACCCATCCCAGTACCTTTTTGCCTTCAAACTTATAGTGGAACTAGTATTGTAATGATAAACAAGAACGCAAGCCACCTAGGTATGCACCACCAAACCTCGTGGAAAGCCTTGACTGACAGCCATCGCAGCTTGTTGTAGCCCAGGTCCTCCAGACCGGGCACGGAGCGTCTGCTCTTTCTGGACATTGCAGAGAGAAGGGCATGACTTTAATGAGAAGCTGGAGAGAAGCAGCTGAATATACCATTTATGCATTAACTCTCAGCTTGTGTGAGCTCTCAGCATGGAGGGAGCTGTGTCCGTGTGCTATCTCCTCCGTGTGTCGAAGAAAGGCAGTCTACCAAGGCTTCGTCCTCTGAAGCTGCACTGCTTAAAGACCTCCCCCTTCCCAGACCATCCCTCACTGCTGGAATGGCTCAGCCCGTTTCTGAAGCCAACAGCAGCCCATGGCTCCTTTTCCCGCTGTAGCACAGGAATGGTACTGCTGGGCTGGAGCTTCTCCTCCCAAGATGTTTCAGCATTTTCACCATGCCTCTGCTCGACCGGCGATTTCTTTGTGAGGGTCGAGCTTACCAGCACGCAGCCTGCAGACGTAGATGGGAGAGAGAGAAGAGAGAGAAAAGTTTTAACCCGCAAGTGAGCCTTAGACAGAAGCAGGGACTGGTCTTCGGAAAGATGCGCAGGGGAGAGGGGGCTCAGCTCCTGTTGACATGACCCGAAGTGATGCACCCAAACCCAACGGACGACAGCCTTTGTGGGGAACGTGTACGCCATAGCACTCAACCCAATGGGAGGAAACCCTCCAGACTGAGCTCACGGGGAAGAGCAGTGAGAAAAGAGAGCCCTGCTCCACAGAAGTGCAGCCGGCCTCCCTCACTTTGCATGCAAGAGTTGCCATAGAAAACCATTAGCATTTCAGTAACAGTGAGGTCGAGTATTCGCCAACCCCCCGCCTGCCACATGATCTCTGTTTAACCAAATAGATCATTGCCTTTTGACATCTTTCTTTTCTGTTTTTTTTTTCTCCTTCTTTTTTTTTTTTCCTTCAAATCCTTTAAAAATAAGAAAACAATTGTAGCTTGGTGCAAGCTATGCATTTAAGTTGTGTGAAAATGCAAATACCAAGTAACAGAATACAGATATTATTGAGATTTGTTGTGAGGTGTTGTAGATAAATGTATTTATATGCCTAGTGAGGGATTCAATATTATGAATATAAAAGAGGGCAATAAAAATGGTATGTAAAATATGTATGAAGAAAAAGGTGTATAAAGATTTGCCCTATGCACGGAACTCTGTTTCTAAGTGCCAAGCACAGAATGCGCTAAATAAATCTTTGCAATTGTTTCCTCTGTGTTTTCCTCTGTCTGTAAGGCTTCCTCAGTGGTCTTCCAGCGACAGACATTTTCAAAATACTCTCATGCGTGTTTGCACAACAGAGGAAATGAAGACACGGTGCTAAATTGTGAAGTCCAGGCAATATTACAATAAAAATAAAAATTCTCTCTTCTCAAGAAATTTTAAAAATTGAGTGCTTGGGATCTGTAAGGTGTCTGCCTTCACAGGAAGTGTGTCTCATGGACAGCTAGAGTTGTTATTTTGATTGTTAAAGTCTAATAAAAAGTTCTTCAGAATAATTTTTCACAGTTAATATAGAAAATAATACTTTCAAATAACAGTATAATTAGTTTCTCATTTTTATATGTCATTTTGGGGTATATGTCAGCTTTTCATTTGCACTACATTTCTAATATGAAATTGAAACATTAACACTGAAAGCAGTGGGGAAGCTGACGCTCCCCCAAACCTGGCAGTAAGTCATGGCTGCAGAGATTACAGCTTTCATTGTGTATGTGAACTTTTTTTTTTTTTCTGAACTGAAAAAGCACCAGGAAGGTAGAAAGACCTTGAAGACAAATTTTGCAAGCATTTCTTAATTTTTATTTTTACAGGGGAAGACGAATATACCAATGCCATTTAGTTCTGTGCCTAGTCTGTTCGACTGTATTCTGGCTTTTACTGTGTCGAACTGTGGATGCTTCAGAAAAGGGTTGGAGGGACTATGGATGGGAGCGAATCTGTCCCTCCCTTTGTTGTCTTCTGTTTACCCTGTCTTTACTGAGGTGTCACCTGCTACATTCAGACTCCCCCCAATCTGGCACAACTGAAAAGAAACCAACTTCGATAGGTCTATGAGCCATTCTGTCCTCTCGCAGTATCCATTGCTTTATATTTATTGACACCAAATGTCATTACAGTCGTATTGCTTGTTTACTTCATTTGGCTCAGTCTTTCCGACGTTTCTTACAGACTTTGCTAAAGCTGACTTTTACAGTTTTGTTTCTCCTACAAGTGCTGATATGTTATTGCTCAAGCCTTCTCCAAGTGACTGACAATTGATTTTTAACCATCTTCAGGAATGAGTTGGTCTCCAATGTTAAAGGTTTTCCATGATCAAAATATGTAATAAGCAACACCAACATGCTGCTAGCGGCTCATCACTCCTTTCTCAAGTGCCTTTCTAAGCCCATGTGATTCACTGCCTTCCAGCTTAATAAGTTTGTTCCTGAAGAACTTCCTTATACATGAGGATGGTGCAGCCCTTTGAATACCAGAGAAAGAAATCACACTGCTCAAGAGCAAAGTATTGCTCTTTCTCATTTATTCTGTTTAATTCTTTGTGAGTGAGTCTGTATTTCAGCTAATAAGAAAATGTAATTTAACGAAATCTAAATCCTTCTCAGTATCAAAATGTATGTTTCTCATCTTGATGAAAACAAAAAAAATATTAATTTAATAAAAAATTATCACTGGAAACGGTCACTGAAGAAAGCAAAATACAGATGTAGGACACAACCATCAATATTAGCATGAAGAACTGGCCTCCCAGTTTCCGTGCATTTTAGTAGGAATCCATGGGGAAGAGCTTTGCAATTGTCACCCAGACTCTTCAGCAATATGATCCTTCAAGTTATTGAGCACCCTGTCCCTGATCCAGCCAAGAGCTTCAGCATACTAAGGTAATGTTACTCTATCCAGTTGCCTTCAGTATGAAGCTTATTGACCTTATGGTGAGCATTTATTGACCATATCTATTGACCATATTTGTAGACATATTTATTTATCTCTTATGTGGCACATATAAAATGAGAGAGCTTGGTTAGCTAGGCAGTTATTCCTTCATCTTAGCATATGTTTAAGTGTTTCGTTGATTCAGGATCAGAATATTCAGCATCAAGACTGAAAAAGAACAGGAAGAAAACCTGGGAGAGGCTTCCCTGTCCCAATATGTAAAGTTGTAAGTACACAAATATGACTCGATGTGGAAGTTACACTGACAGTCTATGAGGATTAAAAACAAACTAACAGTGAAATTGAAAAAAAATTGTAAACTTTTTCCTTGGTCGTCACTGTGCAAAGTAAAATTAGAGCAGCGTTTGGAGCGCAGCATCAGAAATAACAGGCTAAAGCGTGTTAAAATTATTTACTTCATGTTGTTAGGTGCACAGGTGAAAATGCCCCAGAATAACACTCCTCTGAGCGGACAACCTGCTTAGGGCCTTGACACTCCCCCCAGAAACACAAGATGAGCACTGAATTTGAAGCAGACCCGGGTATGACAAAGGTATCATGTACAGCAGTGGCTCTTCTCCCACCACCACCCCCATACAGGGACAGAAGGCTCTGAGCTATTTGTCACTTTTTATGAAGCTTCCCAGTGAAGAGGCGATGGTGATGGGCAATGGGAGAGATGCACTGGGACCAGTCTGGGAGATCTGCTTAGACCAGCTTTCCTGGTGGGCAGCCTAGGTTGCAGTACACACAGCAGCCACCCCCAGAAAACTCCCTTTCCTTGGGTGACTGCCCTAACCACAGGGCTTGAGAGCCCTCTTGGCATGGTCATGCTCTCATCCAGGACCTCTTTGATTGCTCATTTGCAAAGCATATGTGCATGGGGGGCAGAGGCAGCAGTTGTGTGGTTCCTCTCCCCTTCCTTCCTTCCCTACTTCACCACGAACATTTGAACCCCTTGCCCAAGTTTAAGCAGCTTTGATAGCGTCGTCACAGTTGCAACGATGTATGTTCTCACATGTTTCTTTAGAAGAGACAGGAGAGGAAGACAGGGCCCTTATTCATTTTTCACAATGCAGGGAAGGCCGCTGTATGAGATCTCCTCATTCAAAGAAGCCACACAAGGAACAGGTATCCTGCATGCACATCCTCCCACCCCAAGTTTCATCTGGTATATGCATGTTATTAGACACCAGATGATCTACCAAGAGCTGCAGAAACCAGAGGGTCTTTACTCCACCACTCTGGGGCTGACCCATTTGCTATGAGCCCACGCAGGCTTCTGGGTTCTAGTCCAGGAGAAGAGAAGGCTCTATCTCTCAGTTACATGCTGCAAATTTAAAAAGTGGAACATCAGGTACCTCTTTGAAGAAGTACTCTTTTTTAAAAGCCCAATCCAAATTCCAGGTAGGGTAGTGTAAATCTTGATGACAGGAGATCCCTCATCTTGTAGCACAGGCTGTTCCAAATGCAAACCTGGCAACTAGTTACACAAGTGAAAAGGATGTGGCAAAAATAATCAGAGTGGGTTTGTCAGCTTTGTGAAGTTTATTTAACTTCATTCCTTAACACACTGGCAAGCATGGGACATAAATATTACTGTGACCACAGTCAGTGCAACTCAGCAAAACCAGGACATTGCACTCCAGTGCAACATACTGCTCTTGGAGGGAATGTAAATACTATGCACTAAAGCAAAATGCTCAGAGCACAAACATAAATACAAATTAAGGTACACAGCCCGTGCCGTTATGTTAAATATATTACAGCAAAAATTACAGCAGATGATCTGCTAGTGTGGCTGATTTGTTGCATACTGGGTGAAGCTTTACTGGTGTAGGTGAGGGCTGACAGATAGTCATTTGCTGTTAAAAAAATAGTGTCCAGATTATTTTTTTTTCC